GTCTAAAGGATTAGCCAGCTCCACTTTATAGGAACAACAGTGAAGGGAGTTACTAAAGTCACTAGAGTAACATTACTCTAGTAAAAGGTATATAAGGAGGCCAGTTTGGCCCTTAAAAGATAGTTTTATTAACTTAAGTTACCTAGTACTTAGAAGTACTCTACTACCAACCTACTAGACTACACTTGCAGCTTGACTAAAGTAGGACTCCTCTACCCTCTCACCCTACAAGTCTACAAGTCTTACTCTCTATACTCTATTCTGTTACTATTCCTAAGGATTAGAACTAGTAAAGTAAGTATATTTTACAATAATAATGAAAATCTTGTTCTCTTAGACAATTCCTGTTTTGTGTCTGAGACAATCTAAGAGATCTGACTTGAATCTAAGAATGTCAACTTTGTCACTCATATACAATAAGCTCTAAGACACATGTAGGACTAGGTTGTAGTAAAGTAGTTAGAGAAGCAGGCTAGAGATTAGGAGGAGGATAAGGATGGACAGGTTTACTAGGAAGGCTGACTGTATGTTCTAAAGGATTAGAAGCTGTAAGAGGACATTGTGTAAGCTTATTACAACAATCTGACTGTAGAACATTCAGGCTAACACAAAACACAGGAACTCATTACTTAGAACTACTAGTAGTCAGGAATACAGAGGAAAATCCTAAAGTATGTGACTAGTTATAATACATACTAACAGACTAAGGCCTACTAGACAAGGGTTCAGACTCCCCTACATCTGTATTGAATCCTAGATTACTCTTAGGAAGAAGTCTTAGTAGACCTGATTAGTAAGCTACCTAAGTCTTAAGGTTATAATACTATCTGTGTGATTGTCAACTAATTCTCTAAGTAAGTCTATACAGTTCTGACCTGAACAGAACTCACTTCTGAAGGTATAGTACACATTTATTAGAATCATGTCTTCTGATTGTACAGACTCCCTCAGAAGCTTATTCATAATTACAGACTGTAATTTGAGTCAAAATTCATACAGGACTTGTATACACTTCTTAGAATTCAAGGGAACCCTTCTACTATATATTACCTACAGACTGACAGTCAAACTGAGCAAGTCAATCAGGAGATCAAACTCTACCTCCAGATGTTCATTAATCATTAGTAATCAGATTAGTCTGAATGGTTAGCTCTAGCAGAATTTGTATATAATAACTAGTAACACTCTATAATAGGACAGTCCCTGTTCTTTCTCAATCATAGGAGACATTTGTACTAGGGGACAGTTCTAAACTAGAACAGTAGTTCTGAATCTGTAACAGACTTTGTAGAACAGATACACAAAACTAGAGCAGACACACAAGCTCTTTTAGAGAAGGTAGTACAGGTTATGAAGTAGAACTATGATTAGAAGAGGTTTGTAGCTAAGGATTACTAGTCTGGTGACAAAGTTATACTAGAAGCTACTAATCTAACCTTAGATTGCCTAATGAAGAAGTTGGACAACAAGTGCTTCAGACCCTTTATTATTGAAAAGAAGGTCAGTATCTCTGTCTACAAACTCTAACTTCTAGCAACATAGAAGTGTATACACTCAGTGTTTAACAAGGTTCTGTTGTTTTAGTACTACAATTCTAGTTTTCCTTCACAACAAAGACCCCTACTACCTCTACCAGAACTCATCAGTTCTGAACCAGAATACAAAGTAGAGTATATAGTAGATACTAAGCTAGTGTGTAGGAAGCTCAAGTTCCTTATCTACTAGAAAGGATACTCAGTTGAGGAACATACTTAGGAACCTGCTAAGAATCTCACTCATACTACTAAGACAATCTGAGACTTCTATTAACTTCATCTGAGTGCTCTGTATCAACTCCACCTTACAGATTTCTAAACTCTTCTGTTCTGACCTATGTCTAAACTACTGACCAAGCCTAATATTTACCAATCAGAATGATTGGTTTTAGAGAGGGGGTAATGTTACAGTTCTCTACTCTTATACTTTCAGTTCTAAGGGTTCTACACCCTTCTGTACTAGAACTTAGGACTTCTGTCTATTAGGGGTACTGTCTATAGACTATATGTGTGCTGACTCTTACTACTACCCTTCCTTACTTCATCATTCCATTCCTTTGACCACCCCTTCATTCTTTATTCATTCTATAGTCTCTTACCCTTTATTCATCCCTTTATTCTTTATACCTTTATCTTTAACCTTCCTTTCTTTCATTCTTTGTAGCTTATCATTCTTAGTAACTCATACTCTCTGAGTACTCTTGTATAGTTTAGTATATATAGGTATACAAGATCAGACTAGTCCTATAGTCTTGATCTTGTCTACTCTAGATAGTCTTATACTCTTAAGCTTACTCTATATACCCTACTCTTGTCTCACTCTCTCTCTCTGTCTGTTCTACAAGTTCTGACTACATTCTAGTGCTTACATTCTATATTTCTGTTGTGTAGGATAGTTGTAGCCTGAGTCCTCTTACTAAGCCTTTAGGTCCCCTCTATACTGTTACTAACATGACTAGACTCACAATAATGTATAATACACTCTACTCTGACACAACCATATACAATCTTCATAGCACATTCTCCCAGAAGCTTAGAACCTCTGATGAGGGTCTGTTAGGAGATTGAAGGTTAGCTAGCAGGTGGTAACAATCTCCCTATAAGCTCTTAAGAGAGAACAGGATATTTATATAGTATTCATAATACTCATAATTAACTAGAGTCTCACTATAGAGTACTGTAAATGTGTAGTAGATAGTAAATGTGTAAGGGGAAGCTGGAGGGAGGCTAACAATCCAGTAGTACAAGTGAAAGACAGTAAATAAGAGGTAATCCCCAAATTTTGCCTGTTCAAAAAAAAGTGTAAAGGCTAGAGCCTTACTTAAGAACACAGAACAGGTAAAGACCTAGGATTAGAGAGGTCAACCTAAGTACAGGAGTAAGTACAAAGATAATCTCTAAGTGTCTACAAATAGCCCTTTATATACTTAACTAAAGTCATATGTGTAACCTCAGAGGTTACATATAATACTTTTAATAGATTGTATTCATTCATAACACTTACTTAGCCTTTATATACATTAACATGTCTTATACAAACTTTACAATTGATTTGCAAGTCTTGTAATTACTTTATAATATATATACAATACTTATGTTACTTTACAAAGTCTACAATATATTATAAGAAATGTGACTTTTTCCTAATGTCTTCATTAAGGCCCCTCTCTCATATTATGTTGTCCTAGACTTGTTTTTTTGTTGGTCTAGAAGGTCTAAGGCTCTAATAAGCTTTTAGGAGCCTTTCCTCCCTCTAAGTAGAGCATTTAGCCTACCATTTGGCAAGCTCTTCATTATAGTGAGTCTTAATTTGTTTCCATTCACTTTCAATCATATCATTAACTTCCTTCTTCCTTTTAGCCTCCTCCTTTCTTGCCTAGACCTCCTTCTCTTCCCTTTCCCTGTATTCCTTCTTCTGCCTGAGCTTTTCCCTGGTCTCATCTGAGGTTATAATCTTTAGCATTCCATCATCAAATATCTGTGAGTTCTCTGTTGTTTTTCCTTTCTCCTTCTTGTATAGAGCATTCCAGAGCCTAGCATTAAGAAGGGAGGCCAGAACAAGCTGTGCTAACCATAGAATAGGACTGTTAAGAGATGAGGAACAAAAAGAGAGAAAAAATTATTTATTTAGCAAATGTTACAGACTAATACTGGGGGTCTGCTTTTCAGTTGTGAGACACAGTCAAGCAGACTTTGAAAATTTGCCATTTTAAGCTGAAATGTGGTGATCAAAGTGTCTGCCTTGCTTATACTTAACTTGAAAAATCAGTAGTCATAACAAAATCAATATTAAAAGAGTATATTAATACATGTTATACTTATTAATACAATTCATGTGTTATACTTGAGAGAAATGTTATACAGAAATTTATTTGGCTAAAGTAAAGTGTAAGCTACAAGTGAATCAGTAGTGATCAGCAGTCTATTGCAAAGGAACAATGCAAGTGTGACAAAATATCAGCCAAATTCTCTGTGACAATGTGTGACTACAGCCATTCTGGCCTCATTCTTTATTTCATTCCTCATGCAGAGGTCAGTTAATTCACACAAAGAGAGCTCGACTTTTGGACGAGTTACGACAAGTCGACAACAAACGAGCGAAACCATGGACCACCGTCGTGGGAAAGGACGCGTCGGAGCCTGAACTTTGCAGGCATTGGTCGTTCCTTTAAACAGGGACGTTCCTTTGAACACCCCCCTCTAATTCATGCATAACTCAACCAATAAACTCAAAAAAATAGAGAAATGTAGATACATACATGTACTATATATATATGAATTCTGAAGGAAATTGATTCAGTAGAAAAGTGTATAGAAATTCAATACTGCTGAAATTGAATGAATTCCAAATATGAGACTACTGACAAATTTTTTACTACTACTTATGCTACAGTGTTCAACATAAAATTATATTATTGTATTCCTCTACTTCAGAGCTACAATATGTATGTTTTATCATTTTGAATGGACCAGTCCTTAAATTAATATTGTGTAATTTGTTAAAAATGCTCAAAAAGCGTGACAAGAGAGTAAAATGATCGGCATTGATCTACATTGATCTGCACTGATCTACACTGACCTACAGTCCTAATGACACATTGGTTGAGGGTATTAGTGGGGGTCTGCTTTTCCCTATTGACGTGCAGTCCTGCGGAGTTTGAAAACTTACCAAACTAAGCGGCAAACTAAGCAGTAAACTGATAGACAAGTGTCTGGGTTAAAATTGTCCTTGTAGAAAAGATTTTCTGCTCCCCACATGTATTTTAAATTGACAAAAAAATATGAATAGTATTAAAAAGATGATAAAGAAACTTTTTACAGAAGGAATTTTGATTTTATTAGAAACTAGCTAAAATATAACTGTTTTACACTCCAAATCAACTATATCTTGAGCAATAATTTTTTTCTGACAAAATCCTTCTGTAAATCTTTTAATAATGATTTATTTTGATTTATAGTAATGTTTTTCGACCTTTCCTTAACATCTTGCCTTTGGACCTGCATATGCGTACATGGCGAACGTTGAGGTGTGTATTATCTATGTCCAAGTAATAACAGCATTTGACGCATGGAATTGTGCAGGAGTTTGAAGTCTTGCTGAAGGAGGTGGTGAATGCAAAGAGGCTGTCAGCCTCGAAGATGGAGAAGCTGACGGAGCTATCTATGAAGCTGATGGAGGTGCGTAACTCGCCCAACTGCATACTTACTATAAGCTCATGATTATACCAACGGTGTAGAATGACACGCAGCTTGTGTCAATTTTGTTCCGCACCCACAAATTTGTCCGGGGCTCTGCAAAAATATCGTCTCTCTATGTTTTCGATGCTTTGTGCCGTGCAGCTCGTGGTCAAGTGGTCAAGCGTAAACTTTCTGGAGATGCCAATACTGAGAAGGGCAACTGCGCGACATTTCTTTCAAAGGTAGACAGCGTACTTGACGGATTGTTTCAGGACGTACTTTCATCCGGAGTTCCAGAAGCAAAGGTGAGAAACTAACCGCAGTACTATCGTATGGACGTAAAGAGCTGTTCGTGCATCGAACGCTACCCGAAAGAGAGCCACCTTATGCTGCTGGACTCGGTGCTGTATATCACGTTCCTTTAGCTCGTACTGGCAAAGTATCTGTACATTGACCATCGCCTCCAAAAGGAGCTAATCAGTGGCAAAATCTGGCTATACAGCACGAGTACAGTGATGTCCTTTGAAGTGAAGCGACATTGAACGTCGAAAAAGACGGCAGAGCGGCTATATGCGTTTCATGTGATCGAGCAGCTCGTTCCCGTACTATATCGATGTGTTGTTTCGCCTTAATACCACTGACTTACGCCGTAACCTAACGTTCACACCTCGCCTTACATGTATGGATACAGGAAAAAACGAAGAAAATACTTGACATATGGACGAAATCGAGTACATTTCCTTCGAGTGTACTAACACGGTTAAATACGCAGTGCAGGGCGGCTGAGAGTTCTGATCAGACAGTGAAAGGTGCCTATCGTGTTTCTTTACTTTATGTTGCTAAGTATTTCCTGTGGCAATTTAATCCACAACTCCCGTTTTGTTTTTTTGCGCGTAAAAATCTAGTGGTCACTGAGAGTTGACTGAAACAAATAAATCTATTAGAAGCAAAGCCTGCAACGAACAACACGCCAACGCCCACGACCGATCCACGCAAACATCCGACGCCGCCGGCCGTGATCACACCGCCTCCTGCAGCGAGTACCACTACGCCGCCCAATGCTGAGGCCGCGCAGGCTGCTCTCCTTGCCCTGCTATCTACCGCCGCCGCCGCCGCCGCAAACAATTCTTTAATAGGGTGAGCACGCCTTTCCTCCTATCAGTGTCCATCTGTACTCGTCGACTAGAAATGTATTCATCTGACGATCACCTGAAACAGCCAAACACCTGCAAACATATCAAATCCTCCTGCTTTGTCACTTCCACAAACACAAAACCAGGCCCAGCTGGGGCAGCTGCAGTTAGCGCTTCTGCAGCAGCTCAGTAATAATGGAGGGCACCAACAACCGGGTATTGCTGGTGCTCCCCCGCAACCACAAGTACGACCAATACCTCAGCCAATAATGATTGGAATGTCACCGTATATTGCTAATCCTAACGTGGTGCCGCAAAATAATAATATGTTCAGTCCGAGTACTGCATCACCTGTTAGCAGTGAGCGCCAACCAAATCCTGGGCCTGGATACCGAGAATCTCGGCCTAGCAAATTCGACGAAGCACCAGATGCTGCGGGAAGAGGCGAATACTACCACGACAACCGGCGCCGAGGTGTCAATGCACGCGGGTTTCGTGGTGGATTCCGAGGTCGTGGGAGGGGTGATTTCAGAGGGGAGTATGATCGAGATTACGAGTCTTCCTCATGGGATCGCGGACGTGATGATTATTACGAAGGATGTCCTCCGCCAAATCGACGACGATTGAATAGTAACTCGCGGAGTCCTCCATCACGCAGACGAGATAACAGACCGACCTACAGCCCACCACGACGACCGGCTATAGCATCACCAGTGGAACGTCCTCGGGCCCCGTTGCCTGGAGCTTCTGGACCAGGAAAGGATGAATTTGGTCGCGACATTCGTCCTGGTTCTGAAGAGCCTGAGGAAAGTAGACGGAGATCCGAAGGCGCCCCGCCTGGTGTCCATGAAGGAGGATCGGGTCCTGATACTGTCGATGAGGCTGCAACAGCACAATTAGCAGATCCTCGTGCCGCCAGCTCGATGGTAGTTGATTCTAGTGGTTTGAGAAATACCCACTCGAACGCAACGAGCCTTGAAAACTTCGACATCTCGACGTTTGACCCGACAAGTGCAGATGCCTGGCAAGCATTAGGTGACGCCTTTCAGGGCACACATGGTTACGTTCCGTCGCAAGAAGAATTATTACAATTAGTGATGGCCAGTATGGAGACAGCAATGACTATGGGCATGGGCACAGGGATGGATCCCAATGGCGAAGAAAATAGTGCGGGCACGTCATCGAGGGTAGCCGATACAGGTCGCGAAACAACCCAGGACCGGCAAACGAGTGACATGTATAGCATAAAAACAAACGACGAAAATTCCGATGCGGTGGTTCCGGAGCCCCCCTTACAACGATTATTCTCCTCGAAAGAAGGTGGGGTTGCAGGCACAGAGGATATGGGAATACCAGCGGCTGGCACTGGTAATGAGGTTGGCGGTGGCAATCGAGGTGGGCAAATGCGTAAAGTAGGCGACCGATGGATATTTGTTAAGGACAGTGCATAACGGTTCAGAGGTCAAAAGCCCAAATATCCTTTCCGTTTTTTTTAACTCTCGATAGTTTGTTTTCCTCCTCACGCGAGCTATGCGGACCCTTCTTCAAGCCGCGCTAATTCATAGTCATTTCTGTTCGTTTCCCCTGAACTCAAACGATCCGATTCATTGCTGTACAAGAGCCTTGGTGTGATAGTCGTCCCATCAGAGTGTCGGCGATGAGAGAACGGGTTTGGCCAGTACGACAAATAGCCAACAGCCCCACAAAGGATGCCAATGAGGCCTCCGACGATTACATCTTCTTTGTGATGTCTCTACGCGTATGAGAATTAGGTCCAGTAAATGTAGGCAAACAAAATAGCTCACATAGTCTTCGAGTCTTGACAAAGCAACCCACGTCGCAAAAATTAAAGGGAGCAGCGTGATGAAAACTCTACCCATGCGAGATGTGACTATCCATGGATTTCGCGGTGGAAGGGCAGCGCTAAAGGTCCATGCTACTGTATGTGCACTGAGCCAGAGAAAGAGGAAGGTCATCGTTGCAAATGCGGTAGAAGAGTGGCCCGATGGAAACGATTTGCGACCATCAAGAATGTCATTGAACTTGCTGGGGATAAGAGGATTGAATATTAATAAACACCGGTATTGGTGGAAGGACAGATATACCCAGTACAATGATTGACTGCCTCTCCCCATTTACAACGAGTTAGAAAATCAGGACGAAGGCGACCTTGCACGCTCCATTAGGCTTAGTAACGAGTAACTAAGAGAAGTCAACGCACCAACTCTGTTCTTCAGGAATTCCGTTATGACATGTGATAAACTCCTGTATATAATATTCCGGCATGCGCTTGACTGCATTCCGAGCAATACGTACCTAGAGACCCATAGGCCAAGAGCACCATGATGTAAGTCTATGAAAGATCGCTTCATGACTGAAGCTGCTGTTATGAACACGAGCGGTACCAGCAAGGCTATTGCATTATTCGTATATCCACTTATCCTAAAGGCTTCCTTGAGATTTCGCAGGGGAAGTGAACGTTAGTCTGCTCACTGCTGCTTCTTATGCGGATGACTGATGAGCGGATCATCAAGAGAGAACTCGCGTTCAAAGACTTCAAAATGGTCGATGAATCCGGCAACAAACCAGAGTAAGGTTGCCGTGAGCCTTTTAATTGACAAGTGAGCACAAGTCCGCGTGTCTGCAGAAGAACGTTCGATACCAGTCACCTATGTATGAGACATCAAACCAGTCGAGTGCCTCTGGGCCGTAATAATTTCTGAAATGCTCGACTAAGCCAGACATGACTTTGCATGAGAGCAGCGCGGAGCCTCGAACAGCGAATCCGTAACAGAGGCAAAAGTATGACACAGTCACGTTATCCGTAACTGGCTGAGGCGCGGCGCGTCGCGTCTCGTCTCTCGCAAGAGATTTTGCACATCACAGCACGCATTTGGTGCGGACGCGATGACCAGGTTCAGCACATCAACCGCCTTAAAAGGGCAGTCCACGCTAAACGCGTTCATAACCAAGAAGAAGCCGGAAAAACGAGCCAACGAGGATGGCTACACTAGCGACGATACTGCGGCTGGAGAGGGCGATGAGGCCTATGACGAGGTGACTAGGGAAAAATCTGGAACGTCCGACACTGTGCCGGACAAGAAGGCGTCTCCAGCAAATTCCCATCTCCCGCCTCTGAGCGACGTACCTAGTATTTTCAACGACCTTGTTAGTCGCATTCCCGAAATTGCAAAGGTCAGGAATAGATTGGCGAACAGTAATGTGTAAATAGCTGATGGTCTTATGCTGTGTTTCCCAGGTTGCTGATCATACGAAGGGTCGCCGAATACGCGTAGCGACAATGTGTTCAGGAACAGAATCGCCACTTCTTGCTCTTGAATTGATTCAAGAGTCTATGCAAAGAATATTCTCAACAAAGCTTGACTTCCATCATGTATTTTCGTGCGAAATCGAGCCTTTCAAACAGGCTTTCATCGAACGTAACTTTTCGCCGCCAATTTTATTTCGCGATGTCTGCGAGCTGGGTGGTGAAGAAGCGTATGCATGTTGCTATCTGCTGCATGATCTATCTTACCAATTCTTAGGACTACTGCCTATGGATCGCGAGAACCTGTTCCGGGAGATGTGGACCTTCTAATAGCAGGTACTTCATGTGTCGACTACTCGACTCTAAACAACGAGAAGAAAGATATTGACTCGAATGGAGAATCCGGGAGGACATTCCGAGGGATGTTATCGTGGGTGGATAAGCATCGTCCTCCCCTTGTTATCCTGGAGAACGTATGCGGTGCTCCATGGAACAAGGTTGTCAGTCATTTCGGGAATATACAATACAGCGCTGCGTATTTTCGTGTTGACACAAAAAATTTCTACATCCCACACACGCGTACACGTGTCTACCTTCTTGCAGTGCATCAGGAAAACTCGAAAATACCCGATTCGTGGCGTACCCTTGTCAACAGGCTGGAGCGGCCAGCATCGACAACGCTCGATTCTTGGATGTTACCGACTGATGATCAGCGGATTCATCAGGCGCGTCAGAAACTTGTGCGAGAAAGCTTCGGTGCACTTGACCGTCGCACAGGTCGAACAGACTGGGGTCGCTGTGAGTCTCGGCATCAACGCGCGCGGCTTGAAGAAGGTCTAGGACCAAAACGACCTCTGACAAGTTGGGAAGAAGGAGGATTTTGTAAACTCCCTGACTTTGCATGGGGAGATTGGGGCGTCGTTCAAGTCGAGCGTGTCTGGGATCTCATGGACATTTCGTTGCTGCGTAAAGCGAAGCAAGGCGTTGATCCGTCTTTTAAGACGTAAGTCCGTTTACTTGTACTCTTCATTGAGTCTCAAAGTATTTTCCCCAGCGAAGTGTGGAACTTATCCCAGAATGTTGATCGAGAAATCGGTTCAAAGCGGCTTGGAGTATGCCCATGCCTAACACCATCGATGATCCCATATATTACGAACAGAGGAGGGCCGATAGTTGGCATTGAAGCACTGTCGATGCAGGGATTGCCCGTCAACAAATTATTGTTGACACGGGAGTCTGAGGACCAGTTGGCTGACTTGGCGGGGAACGCAATGTCCACAACTGTCATCGGCGCATGTATGCTCGCTGCTCTAGTTGTTGGTAGGGACCTGCTGAAGAGAGGCCATGACAAGGATACCTACGAAGAGAAGGCCGGAGTAATCGAGGCAGAGAGTGTCCAGAATCATGTCATGGATGTGGACCCGGTGCATACTAATGTCGAGGCGTCTATTCGAGAGGAAAGCCTGATAGAGCACCCCCTCAATCTTTCATCTACAATGGAAGCCTCATTATCTAAGCTTATTGAGGAAGCGCAAGCAAGTGTTCGCTTATGTGAATGCGAGGGTCGGACCGACATCACTTATCGAGTACTAAACCGATGCAAGGACTGCGGCACAACTTCTTGCGAGAAGTGTGGTGGACGACCAGAACATGCCTACCGTCCAATTGTTTTCAGCAAGCATCCGAGAATTCAACCCCAATTGTTTGCACGCAAACTGAAAGCCACCTTGCCAATGTGCATCTCTTTATGTGGGTTTACAGATGATCTCTTGAGTTGTCTGCGGGCACGTCATGCAACTGATATACCAGAGAAGAAGTGGAATGCATGGCGCTCTGCTTTAATGCGCGTTGTAGAATTCGAGCATCGCTTCGTTGAGCTAAAGAGACAAGAAATCTGGATTGCGACATTCACTTCTCCGTGGAGTACTCTGGAACTTCAATTGCACCCACAGCAGCCTGAATGGCGCCTCTTTGCACACGCTGACAAAAAAGAACCCGCTAACAGCGAGATACGGTCCATCTTGGAGCTTCCTGTTGCACGAATGCGCTGCAAGTCTGGGCTTTTGGATGGTTGCTGGGAAATTGCGCTTCCAAGACCTTCTCAAGTAAAAGTATCTATAAGAGGGACTGGCGAGAAGGTACCTGCGTGGCAAGCTCGTCTTGGGCTTCAGGGCGTATACAAGGATCAGACCGTCTTCAGTAAACTTGTGATTTCTGTGCCGGAAGATGCGGCAGGTTCATTTGATCGCAACATCTCTGGCACTTATGCATTACTAGATAAATGCGGCACTGCTACAAATGCCCTGCACCGCAAAGAGGGTGATCATGGCCATATGCAACCACCGCTTTTCCTCTTTTTAGACCCGACTCGGTGTGGTACAACTGATCGGGATGCGTTTGTCTTTTCAATCAACACCCGGCGATACCAGTTTGGCGAGACACGGCCCCTTATATGCAAGCTTGATTCAAAGTGGAGACAGGCAGACGTTGGCGAGGAGGGTAGGCCTGTCACTTGTCATATTCCCTGTATATGGGTGAAGTCAGATATGATCAAGATGCAGGTGTGTCCCTTCATTATAATCTACTTCAAAAATTGACTTCTTTTAGTCCTCAAAAGGTCGCGAAGCGAGCTTTGCGACACCGTCAACTTCGTTCGTAGTGAGCATGTCTACCGACGACTGTATTAGTGCAAAAGCCTTGCTCGTATGCAAAGTGCCCTTAAAGGATCAAACAGACGCAGTATGGCCACGCGGAAAATGGGTTGAAGTAGACAAAGTCCACGAACGTGTAACGTTCCGGGCCCTTTCATGGCTCATTGAACGCATTGTACATGAGAATGAACAGTTCAATCAGTGGTTAGAAGTGACCGTGCCGAACAATTCAATCACGCACAAGTGTGGACGCTGTGCTCCTGCACCTCCGGGTATCCTGTGGATTCGAAACGAGAATGGTAAAGTCCGTGCTGTAGAAGACGCCCTCCAAGCTGGGGTATACGAACGCGACCTCAAGAACCGGCCAGCAGTATTTGTCACCCAATTGCGGTTGGATGAGGGGACCCGCGTTGGAGTTGTCCGAATTGGCGTGAACTTCCAGTCGCTGATTCATCGAGCATATTCCCGTTTGCCTACCCTTGACCGTGCGGCAAATCCTACATTCTCGTGGTATTTAAACACGAATTTCACTGATTATCCGAAACTGAATTTGCCGAAATTCATACTGACAAGCAACCGTAAAGATACAAAGGTCGACCAACCGGAACATTTCAAGATACCGTTGCGGCCAGAACAACTGCGTTCACTTAGCTGGATGCTTAGACAAGAGTCGCTAGATGCGAAACCGTTTATTGAAGAAGAAATCGCGGAAGCAGTATTGGGACCCCTCAACTGGCGTGCACAAGGGCGAGCACAGCGTCCAGTATTTGTTCGCGGTGGTGTTCTCGCCGACGAAGTTGGATACGGGAAGACAGCAATTACGCTCGGTTTGATCGACAGTGGTGCAAAGTGCATCAGGCAGGAACCGCGACCGCCTTCTGCGCAGCTTAGTGGCAAAATTTATGTGAGAAGCACACTGATTGTCGTTCCTCCCCACCTTACACGCCAGTGGGGTTCAGAGGTGAATAAGTTCACTGGTGACCTTTTCACTGTGGTCATCGTCTCAACTGCTAGTAGCCTCAACTCGTTGACTATCAAAGACGTCCAAGAAGCTGACATTGTCATTGTGGCTTCAAATCTCTTCCACAGTAGTGTTTACCTTGCCAACCTCGAGGCATTTGCTGCAGGCGGGACTTTACCAAGCCAAGACGGCCGTTTCTTTAATGCAAGGCTAGATCATATCCTAGGATCACTTCGTGATCAAGTCGAACAGCTTCGCACCAATGGTTCAGAGGCAGTCATGCAGGCGATTCTTGATGCTCGCAAGAAAGGTCAGCCCTATTCTCCTTCAATTTCAAACAAACTCACCATTTTTATCATTTATTAACAGATAATGAAGCCGATGTTTTCGTACAGAAGAGGCGAGTCAAGGGTGCGAAAGCACGCGTACCAGCTGAGATTGAATCAGGGAGCAGGCCAAATGATTCAATGTATGTAGATGAAGAGCACCCGCGCATACCGCCCCCGTCAAATAAAATTGTAGAGGTCGTCATCCCGGTGCACAGGAGCCCGAGCACCGTTGCACGGTCGTACTCTTCAGATGCTGAAGTGTCCGCACCGCCAGCGTCCGAAGCAACCTCGGCCGTGGAATCGTCGGACGTGGACAGCACGACACGCCGCCTTCGAAAGTGTACAGGTCGAATTTCCCTCATTGACTCTGACTCTGACGAAGTTGACGTTCGGCCGAAAGGCTTGAGTACGACTAAAGCTTCCGCGAAGTCCACCTCGAGTTTGAGATTTAAGAAACCAATAAAGCGCAAAGCTGAGTCCTCTGATTACGAAGACTCACTATCCGAATCCGAGGAGAAAAGGGACGAGTCCGATGGTGTAAATGAACATACAGACTTTGGGCATGCCAAGAAGCTGGTCAAACGGCCTTCAAAGCCGAGTCGCCTGCTGAAAAGAGCAAAAACCTCTACCGAAATTACGCGGGATATGGTGAACGGTGGCCCCCTCAAGGCGGTGTCTATAGCGAGTAAAACGGCTTCTGCAAAGATCAAGCAGGTGAAACCGATGAAGTTGAGGGAGGAAAGTGACCCGTGGAAACTAAAGACCAAAGCAAAAAACGATTGGGAACAAATGCATTCTCCACCCCTGGAGATTTTTCATTTCGCTCGTATTGTCATTGACGAGTACACGTATTTGGAAGGGAAAATCCTTTCCATGGTGCAGAGGCTCACGGCGACTCGTCGATGGGTGCTTTCAGGCACCCCTCCCATCCACGACTTTGCTTCCTTGAAGACCATAGCTGCTTTTCTCAACGTTCATTTGGGCGTTGATGATGACGGAGAAGGTCAATCTGCGTCAGTCAAGAAGAGGCAGAGGGAGCAGACTGGTACAAACTTTCCAAACATTATTCAAACATTGATTAACGTTCCACTCGTTTAGACTCGGAGAAGTTCCACTCGTTCCGCGAGGTTCATACCAATGAATGGCATGCACATCGTCACCAACTTGGTCAAAAATTCTTAGACCAGTTTGTTCGACAAGTTAGCCTCGACTTGATATGATGTTTTTACTACTTCTAACGACGTATCCTAGAACATCGCCGAAATTGATGAAATCTCATGGGTTGAAAAAATTGAATTGGTCAATTTGCCAGCAGCTGAACGTGCCATCTACCTTGAATTGGAACATCATTTGCGTGCGTTGGATATGACAATTAAGCGTGGGCGGAAGTCTGAAAGCGATCGCGAGAAACGATTAGCTCAGTCTCTTGGAGAAAGCAGGTAAGTACAATGCAGTATTGTCACTCGGATTGGTTATCAATAATCTGAAACGGTAGCTCTGCTGAAGAGGCTTTGCTGAAGCGTTGCTCACATTTTGACCTCGACGTCAATGAAGAGAATGCAATGAAGGCTTGTGAAGTCATCGTCCGCGAGCGCACGAAACAGCTTGAGGATTGTAAGCGAGAACTCGTAGATAAGCTACAACATGCATTGGCGCTTCAAAGTGAAATCGGAAAAACCGACTCCGAAACGTACTTCCAGGAGTATGTACGTGTAACTCATAACGAAGGAGTCGGTGATAAGGACGCTACTTCGATTGCTCTTGAACAACTGAAGATGGCCGGTATTGAAGGTCCATTGTCTTGTCCGTCAAATAAATCAGCCGACTCGCGGAAGAACGTCAAGGACAAAGGGAAAGCCAAGGGTGTCTCAAACGGCATCAGTGATTTGATCTGGGATATCCGAGAACAGACCCATGAGATTCGGAGATTGACAAAGGAACTCGTTGGCCGTGTCCGGTCGCTGCGTTATTTCACTGTTGTTCGAGACTTACAGAAACAGTCGGGCATACCTTCGACTGCCTCTTGTCCCTCGTGTGCAAACCAAAAAATCCCAATTGAGGATATTGCCGTGCTATCGTCTTGCGGCCATATTGGTTGCATAAAGTGTGTGATGAGCTGTGCAGAACGCGAGGAATGTGTTTGTGCCCAATCTGGCGGATGCAATGCTGCGGCTCGCGTTCTTAACATCGTCAAGGGCGACACTCTTGGTGTTGATGATGTTGCTCGGGATGGCACTGGAAAACATTTTGGGGTTAAGCTCGAAAAGATTGTTGAGCTCATACAGTTAGTGTCGCCATTGTTTCCCCTACTGACATATTAACCTGACCACCTATCAAATTCTTAGGAAACGAATACCTAACCAAGAACGTGTCTTGGTATTCGTACAGTTTCCGGATCTCATGAAGAAGGTAGCGGCGGCGTTCAGTGCGAACAAAATCAAGTTTCTCGAAATCAAAGGCAGTGCTTCCCAGAAGTCAAAGAATCTAGAGAAGTTCCAGAATGATTCCGAAGAAAGAGTGCTGCTCTTAAACGTCACTGATGAGAGTGCCAGTGGCGCTAATCTTACAGGCGCAAACCACGCGATTTTCGTCAACCCTTTGCTGACGAGCACCCAAGAGATCTACGAGGCGTGCGAGACTCAGGCGATCGGGCGTGTGCGACGATATGGGCAGACAAAACTTGTACATATATGGCGATTTCTCAGCCTAGGCACGATTGACGTTGAGATCTTTGAGCAGCGGACTAAGAAAAAATTATTATGAATGCTAATACATTTCTAATTTCGATTTTGGCTATTAAATCTAAAACAAAAACACTGTGTGCCAGTTGTCTTCATATCTAGTCGGACAAGTACTTCCCTGCCAGAATCGGTTGGCCAGCTACCCAGAATCAAAGCCGAAATCACGGTCCCTTAGGTTTCTTATCTGTTTATTAATGCCCAGGTATTCTTTCTCTTCTAGCTTTGTGCTAGTAGGAAGACGCCGATATTGCCATTCCAAACGGTCGTTCCACAAATTCTAGTGTATTTTCCCTGAATCTTCCTATGTATGAAAGCATGCCATTTATTGAACAGGTATAATGTGTGATGCTTTTCCTAAGCTTATAACGACGAGTGTCTACGGATTCTACCGCCTCACAGCCTTCTCCTAATAGGCAGCTCCCAGACGACTCTTACAGGATATTCCCACTGATTGTCGGACAGCTGGTCTTCCGCCTGTGTAATCATCGCTAACTATCATTACTATTTCCAAGAGACAGCAACACTTACACAAAATAGCTTACAGGCTCCATTAAAAATGCTAACAGACATGCACATTCTTAAGAGTGGGTTAGTTAGGAAAGGTGATAAGATCCAAGAGATGTAAGTGAAATAGCTATTCTTCATAGATCATGCATTATAAGGGTCACACATCACGAAAAAGTCGCAACAAATGTATTAAATAATAGCAAAAGTAATCTAATAAAATGATTTCATAAGCATTACATTTTAAAATAATACTTATATTTTACTTGTAATGTAATTATAATGATTGTATATAAATGTAAGAAATATACAAAGTTTCTATTAAACTACAAACATGTTTTAGAGCAAGTAAGCTTACTAATGGTATTATTACAACATTACATGTGAGGTACAAGTACTCAACTCTTATTGTAATCTGTTAAAATTATATTATAAGTTATTTGTAACAATAGTTGATTAATTATAATAGTCATAAAAGTAATACATTGTACTTGTAAGTTAATTACAATACTTTTAGTACAATAATATGTAATTATATATATTAATATTGTTAACAATCACCCTGTTAGGCTTATAATATAATTTAGTTTTCTATTAAACTATATATCGAAGTGCTTACATAATCGAATACCGAAGATCGAGAGCATATAATGACGCACTTGCTCTCGTCACTCCTTTCCTCCTACCTCCACCATCTCCCCCAACCCTCTTCCCCCAACACTATGTCGTTGCTTTTGTCCTCTCCAGTCCAGTCCTCTGCCTACAAGCGTCCTCCAGCAGGCACACTGCCTGCAACCACCTAGACAATAAACATCGCTGCATTGTCTCTCCAATCTGCTGTTGCGATGCCCGTGCTGAGCCTCAGATCCTGTGACGACACGACCCAGCTGGCTACACCGTCCTTCAGTGTAAATTGTAAGCAGCCAGTCCACTTCATAATAACGCGCACAATAGTTGCTCATCCCTTTCCTCCCAACTTTTTGTCTCCTTTTCATCCCTCCCGCTCCTCGTTCTGCCTCTTGCGTTGCCTCTCCTTCGTTGTCCTCCTTTTATTATTCTTCCCTTCTTTTTTACAGTTGCATTCGCGCATCCGCATAGTTGATCAATGCCAAACGACTTCTCAATAATTACATGCATTCGCGTACTTCTTCCCGCTCAGCAACGCAAGCAACAATCGATGAGCACACACGAGCACGCTTGCGACAACGTCCATGTACCACCACTCTCAAGGCGCAATCCTCTCTCCGACCCCCCGCCCACTCTCCTTCTCTACCCATTCCATGTTTGACATCATCCTCGATGGGCTCACACTGCGTGCATTTACATTCCCTAGTGCCGTGCATGACACCATTTCGAACGGAAGCAGTGACCCACCACTCCCCACCTGAGGCGAGTCCATCTGCCTTCCACTTCACCTTCACCTTTCGAGCCGGAACGTCCTAGAGATACACCTTGCAATCAACGACTCAGTTTACTACACCTCCCATTGGACGCCGTAGATAAACCATAGACCACACGTGCACAGACACTGTTTCGTCCGCAGTCCGAATCAACTCGTTCAACACTCCGGATCTCAACCTGCATGCACCACTCACACTCGCTGCACGCTGTCGCGGTGCGTCCATCTTTTCTTTCCTATTGTCACTTGCTAATCATTCTAAACCTGTCTCACAGGCGAAGCCTCAACCTCTACAACCTGCTCAACCTCACAAGTCACACGCATACACAATTCAACTTTGCAGGGACTGGGTGACGACCAAGGCGCGGTGACGAAGACTACATCGAACGGCCCAAGAACGCATCAATACTTTACTGACGTGAATCCTGCTTGCGAAAGAACGAGGCAGAGGCTGCTGGTGGTGTAGGGATTGGGGCCGTAGAAATAATGTTTTATTTACTATCTTTTTGTATTCTATAATTAAATATAATTGCATTTTATTAATTATTTAATACAAAATTGTAAGCAAAGCCAAAACAAGCTGTTCAAATGCTTGTAGTGACTTATGGGGATTGTAAGCAGACATTATACTTTCTCAAATAAATAAGTATGTCTTGGTCTTGTAATCTTAGGAAGTATGTTATAATCACTTGTATAGCTTGACAATTTATACAATTATAAAGGAAATTGCCAAGTTTTACAAGTATTCTTACTTACTTATTTAACATTGTACTTTCCTTGCTTAACCCCCTATGAAGATTATATTAACATTGACAAAATTTATAAAAAGTACAAAATGTATAGGATTACAAGCAAGTACAATACTTAAGACTTTTTCGTGATGCAGAACGTACTACTCCTTGGATGGTCATCTCTACGTTGTTGATGATGTAAATGATCTGTCGCTTGTACAAGCAGTCACTGGCAGAGCGAGTACATCGGGAGACTATAAGCATGAGTTTTTCCGCAACGATCCTGAGATTGGGACCATCGAGGATATTTGGACCTGTAGTCTCTGCAAAGGACCACGATACCGGACTCCGATTGCGTATAAAACCCTTCATAGGTGGTTAACGCACAAGCTGAGGTGTCCACTAATCCAGTTCGTCGAATAAAAGGAATTCTAGTCAGCGGATCTAACAAATATTATAGGGATAAACTGTGCAACGAACTTGCTGCATTAGAGGCGAACACAAAGAAGCCTAAAACAAAGCCGAACTCTCAGTGTGAGTGCAAAAAGCAAAGAACTGCATGTTGGCAATACTCCCAGGGCTGTCTTGCTGATAATGTCCCATTCTCAGATGCGTGTAAGACACAGGTGGAGCTCATGGAGGGAATTCTTACTGGAGTGATCAGTCCACGCCGAATCTTCTGCAGGGAATGCAACAAGTGGGTCAAGAAACAGTGGAAAGAACACGTAGGGTCCCATGGCCTTTGTCTGGGATTGTCAAGCCGGAAACCCAAGGCCGAGTCATCAAGAAACAGCCATAAAAAATTGACTAGGGTGAGTTCAAAGTGACAATGCCCAATAAAACAGACTAAACTACTTAAAATCCAGGACAGATATGAAACATCGTGCGGCCAGTGAACCATGTTCAAGGATTCTGTCAGTCGTCAAGAGAAGGCTTACCTCATTTTTATGGTCTAGTTGGCGGCAGATACGTAATGATTTGATGGGCCTGCTCGAGTTTTTTGGTTTATTAGTAACTTTCCCGGTATCCTAGTAATACTGCACGAAGTCTACGTGACGTGAATAAGGTATTACAACGCACTGAAGACATGCTTGCGAATGCCAATTATTCAAGTATTGATGTTCAAAGTTATTGAGTATTTCCTAAGACTCGAATTGGACCAGAACGCCATATCGCAAATGCTGGTAACCACCATAATACTTATAAGTCATAGGTAGTCTTGGGAGTTAGAACTGGAAGTTTGGCATCGAGCGACAAACGTGATAAAAGATGGTGGCTGTGTCTAGCTGTCATGTGCTGTTTTTATGTCAGCGCTTTGAGCTTGAATGAATGTCCCTTGCAACTTTTTTGTACACTGTCTACCACCGTTGGCAATCGTTGCAAACATGGTGTGCAAGAAATGTGAGAAGGTACGCCGTCCGTTATTCCTCTCTTTAGGAATTTCTCGATTCACGACTTTCTCATGATTGTCAGAAATTGTCCAAAGTCGCCGCACCTGACCCGTTCACGTCATCGTCGGACAGTATCAAGGCGGGCTCTCGCAAGGTCGGTGAGATGAAGCTTTCAAAGAAGACGAGGTTCTCGGTGAGTATCTACACTCTTCGTTCCTTACTCTCCTGAGCGCCTGCCACTCGTCTTCCTTATTCTGAGCTCTGATACAGCTCACATATTACCCTTGCCCGGGTGTGATTACTGACCACCTGCCATCCTCTAGCCGTACCAAGGGAAGTGCAAAGACTGCAAGCAGCCCACAACGCAGAACAATGCGAAGTACTGTCACGGTACGTGTACTTCTTCAAAGTCCTTTCATTCACATACGCTGATGAATTCTTGCTGGTTCTCCCGCGTTTACTTAACAACCAACCATTCATCGCTGTACCATCTTTCTTCTTGCTTCTCTACTTTCTCCATGCGTATAGGCTGCGCGTACAAGAAAGGTGCTTGCGCAATATGTGGAAAGGCCGTCCTGGACACGAGCAGCTACGTGATGTCGAGCAAGTGATGTCGGCTTTGTCGTTCTTGGAATACGATGTGCGAGAGAAGCAGGTGTTATTTCGGGTTTCATATAGGTCATACGGACCGAGACTCGGGTTTGCGTGTGATATAGAATGTGGCGTTGTATGGCAATCGGCTGGTCCGAAGGGAGAAGTCCATCAGTCGAGTGTTCACGATGCCGACTCACCATCGCACGTCCGTTAGCCCAGTTTCCTTGGGATGGGCAGAATGGACATTAATGGATTTCTCCACAGCCAATATCTCGACTTCAATCGTTCTTGTAATCTATAATGTACGTGTATGTTATCTATACAACATGTAATTGAAGTGCGAAAACAATATTTTGACAACCTCACAAGACTAATCTTTCTACATTATAGGATAAGGGTGGCGCGGATTTGTTATGGTCTGCGACAGTCGACAGTCAAATAGGGTCCGTATGTGTCCAGTATGCATTACTTGCGGGAAACAATCGAGCTGGTGCAAACCAAAGTGGATCCACCTCCATTCCGCCAGGTGAGAAGTACACCAAAGATAGCAATTGGGTATCCAACTTTAACAAATGTTTAGAATAGCTCGATGCAGAAGTAGTGCTTAACTCCAGGCTTGGTCTCTCACGTCGGAGTTATCTGGCGACCTCTAAGAAGCGTTCATTATCAGAAATGAACGGCCAACCCTCTCTGGACCACATGTGAACTCTGCCGCTCTGGATCACATACTTGGTAGTCCCAAATTGGTACCAGCATTGAGACTACTGATGTGCTTGGTGCATCAACAGCTTCACTATTTCAATGCATCTCCGTTATTTCCGCCCGTCCGTCACGGATGGACCATCAACTTATAAGCTGCTTAAACGTTCTCAGCGTGTTTGCGCCGCATGGATCGGCCGGACCGTTCGACTGATGTGAGAAGTCAGTATTGCGGATCAGGCGAGGTAATCTGGTCGTCGATGAGCAACGTGGACGACATTGTGGTTCCCAGCATCTTCGGTGTGAACAGACGGGGAATAGAGTTACCTTTGAAATTTAGCTTGCTTTGAGTGTTCTGCACTTGCTCCTGCGCGGATAACAGAAAAGGGAACTCCTTTGATTTTGAAACTTTCGGACTGTCTTCTTCCATATCTATGTTGCGACCAGAAGCGCCTCTGGAATGCTTGATTGCTTTAGCCTCTGGGGAGCTGGATCCGAGGTGACTGTCAAAATTTTCATTTCTAGGCCTTACGTGTAAAATTTGCACCGTGCCACATCACGATATACTTAGAAGGAAGTCACAACGGGCAACTGCGGCGCGGCGACATATCAGGATGCTGGTAATACTAATAGTGGAGCACGACATACACACGAGTTGATAGAGAAGCCTGCCCTCTATGAAAAGGAGCCGTACCAATAGTGAGTTGATAAACACACGCGCCAAAGCTCCTACCACTTGCAACGGTGGCCGTGGCAGATGGCAGGCCTGAACATGTGTGGTCGGGGAGGGAAGACAATACGCGGATCAACAAACCTAAATTGCAACGGCTGCTCCGGCACTAATTGATCAGCAGGTCCGGTACCAAGTTTGGTAATATGAATTTCCAATCGCAGTCGAGACAGACCGGAAATTGAGATTGAGAGAGGAGGATCTCACATGCGGCCGGGCCACGCAGCACACGCGCTTAGGACATCCTTATAGCCACGCGGAAGAAGTTGTAGAGACCACTTCCTTCCTCTCTCTTTTTATACCAACTTCATTCACCTTTCTCTTCTGCCCCTCCTTGCCCGAGTTACTCCGCCCTACATATTTCTGTTACTTGCTTCACGAGCAGTTGTTCCTAGACGGAGCTTTCTTATTATATATCATGCATCTCTCTACTCTCCTCGTTGCCATTCCGTTCGCTGCGCTGGCCGTGAGCAGCCGTCATGTTGATTCACGTAGGGTGGCTGGACACCAGAAGCGCTTCCACCGCCGCTCCTCCAACTTCACCCTTGTAGACATGCACCAGGGTAACAGCTTTTTCGAGTACGTGACGCGTTTTCTTGTCTTTCTCGAAGAAATGATCCGTTAAATTCAATTGACATTTACAGTGGCTTTGATTTCTTTACGGATAAGGACCCCACAAACGGGCAAGTTAAGTTCCTTTCCCGAGACGCTGCAACCGGTGCGAAACTTGCGTTCGTCCAAGATGATGGTACGACCGTCATGGCTGTAGACAACACATCCAACCTCGGGGACGGCGAGAATCGCAACTCCGTGCGCATTCAATCAAAGAAGACATATTCGTCAGGTCTCATTGTTGCGGATATCTATGCAATGCCACACGGATGTTCGGTATGGCCCGCATTCTGGATGGTTGGCAGCGACTGGCCGAACAACGGCGAGATTGATATCCTTGAGGGTGTGAATGGTGAGTTGTTTGTGCCGATGGTGTCTCCGTTATTGTCTCGTCTATGAGTCCTTTTTACAAAAAAGGCAAGGCTCGTGGAATCGTCGGGATCGCCGTCGTCAGGCACATGACTAATCTTTTCTCATGCGCTTTCGTTCATTTTATCCACCTCCTGTTTTGATGAGCGCTTGGTTACAGATGCTAATTATCACTTCTAGACGGAACAAACAATCAATATACTTTACACACCGCAGACGGTTGCGCACTTGACAAGTCTCCGGCCGTGTCAACCGTTAGTAAAGTCACAGGCAAGGTTGAGGCGTTTGCTTCCAATGTTCTGGGAACAACGTGTGCGAGTTCTGCAGGCAACAATGCGGGCTGTGCATTCCTCGACACATCAACAACTTCGTACGGCCATGGTGTGTATCTGTCGTTGCCTTCTGCCAGGGTCGAAGCTCATGTAGTTAATCTCACCTCCAGGTTTTAATATGCTTGCCGGTGGGGTCTTCGCGACGCTCATCGACGATAGCGGCATATCAATCTACCGCTTCGAGCGCAGCTCGATTCCGGGTGATCTTCAAGCGCAGAAACCCGATCCGAGCAGCTGGGGCGTTCCCGCTGCATTCTGGAGTTCGTCGACATGCGATATCCAGAGTCATTTCAAAGACATGAACATAGTCTTTGACACGACTCTCTGCGGTGACTGGGCTGGCGCTGCATTCCCTGCCTCATGTCCTGGAACGTGCTCCGATGCCGTTAAGAACGCAAGTAACTTTGACTTTGCACAGTGGAAGGTCAACTCTGTTGCAGTCTACCAGTGAACTGGCTGGTCATGAGTCCTGCACTGCCAACATTAAAACCTGCCTGAATCTGAGTCGGTAACATGAATTCTCACGACCCGAGCGCATCGTCTCTTCACATTGTCACCCGATACCTTGCCTCACACACATCCAACCCCACCTTGCATTCAGTCTTCTTTCACCACATTCTGTTCTCTCTGGGTAGACTCCCTCCGTTCTCGTTTTCATATTGCCTAGGGTATTAGGTCCGGCCTTGATGGCTTTTTCATTTGGTTCATCTTCACACCGTGCTTACTTGGGCATCTTTACTTTCCATCTCGCGACAATTTAGAAAACTCCCTACCCTCCTTTTCTCTTCCCTTTCTCTTTCATCCTCCCGTTCATACCCTCCCTCATACCTCCCTGCTTATTCTCTACTTATTCATTCTCTTACTACCGCCGATCGCGTTCATATACACGCTTACATATAAACTGTAGCAAACTAAACAACCCACTCGTTTTCTTTTCCTTTTTATTGCTGGGCAGTTCGATAAGGTGAAATGAAATTAGATTTGTATTAAACTGGAAAGTTCTTTCTTTTCTTATTCTTTAGTCTGTCTAAATGGAATTTTCTTTTGGTGTATACATGTATTGTGAGATTGTTGGCATATGTGCCGATTGGTTGATGTATGTTTAATGCATTTGGTCCTGAGACGTTCGTCCGAAATTTAAAAAAAGGTGAATTCTTAGACGGGCCAAATTTCCGTTACTTGGCCGAGCGATTATTTACCCTCTTGGCGAGATCCTGTCCATGAAATCCAAATGGCAGCACCTACGGCATCTTCGATAAGATCATCGTTTCATACCAAGACAAACTCAGCTACCAGTTTAGAATTTCGTGATCTGAATTTGCTATCAGTTATTCCTGAATGCATAACTTTGGTCCTGCGTGGAGCTTGCCTTCATAGGCAAGTCACTCCTCAAAAGACTGACATGAATCACTATTACTTAGTATCTAATAAGAGAAAAAGAAAAGTAAAGAATGTTACACTTCATAGAAGTTATAGCAAGTCAAATTGCAAATGCAACAGTAAAACAGACTTTACGGTAACGAGATAGCAACTTAAAGAGAAAGCATGATGATAACGGGATTTATAGACCGACGATACACGGTTAGCATGATGAGAAACGAGGAATGACAGGAAAACCAAATGAACAACGGACAGTGGTGAAGGAGCCCAAGTATACAAGAAGGCGAGAATAATACGTTACATGATCATACGTCTTTTTATCAAGAAAGCAGTCTCAGGAGAAACGAGTTTTTTTGTCCGTGAGCGTCGTTAATGATGTGTTTTCGTTAGGTTTTGCTTCGTGCTGCCGTGATGACGGAGGAGCTGAAGAGGCAACTGTATTAATAGAAACTCAAGAGCCGTCTCCGTGTCGGGCAGTTCTGGAGTCGGAGGTCAAATAGTATGCACTACGCCTCAGCTGAGGATGCATGTCCATCTGACCTATGTTCCGAACACCTGTGTTCACCTGAATGCGATATAAGAGCAGTGAGACAGACCAGATTCATGGCTCGATAGTTTAGTTGAGCGTATGATAAACGTACATGCGAGCGGCCAGGATGCGGGACAGGGATTGTCATGGAAACCGGCATTGCCATCGGAACGGGGCCGTAAGAGCGCGACATATCGCCGATATTGGCTAAACTGTCTGCCTCACTGGTCCCGATCCCGGTGCCGAGACCGTTATCGAAATTAACTCGCCCATTGGCATTGTTTCCTAAATGCAAGAACGAGGGTTCTTGATGATATTGCGAGAGAAGACCGGCCTGGCCAGAGGAACAACTTGAATGGGCTGGCGGACCCATAGCGAGGCCCCTCGCGAAGTATTTGTCCAGGCCAGCTCCGCCGTCTACGGCAGAACCTTGCAAATCGAAGTCCCGCCATACCTGACCGTCTTGCGTAAAGTCAGGTTGGGAATGTTGAGGAAAGTTTACGGACATGTCCTGACGCTGTCACTAGTTAGTCATCCATACGTTGGTCTGGAATAAAGGTAGGGCATTACCGAATTGATGCCCTGTCCAATTTGCTGACGAGATCCAAGTTGCTGCTGCGCAGAATAACTCGCTGTATATGGTGGCCTTGGATCAGCACTCGCAAGGTTATCGATAGGAAGGGAATTATCTTGTGGAGTCACATGCCTCCCATAGGAATGATTAGGTTTGTTGAGAGGGACTTGAAAGCTTATCCGGTCGGCGAACCCTGGCAGATTGGATGTTATCGGCGACGGTGTACCTTCTGAGGAATTAGTCTGGCGTAGCAGCATGGATAAGTGCCGTACCTGAAATATCACTCAATCTTTCTTCGTAATCCATAACAGAACCGACTGGAGTTTGGCTATTTTTCCTTACTCTTTGCGAGCGACAAAAACTGCAATGTCCCGGCTCAGATCCAGTTTCAGCACAGGTACAGGAGGGTAATGTGCATTTCAACCCGCGCCGGACGCAGACTCGGCATGGTCGCTCTGGGTCGCATTGTACCTTGTTTCGTCTAAAAGGGTTGTCAATTAAAATTGACAGTTAAGACCTTGCCTCGTGCACACATACCTGCAGTTGGCACAAGCCATCTTAACCCTTGTTCCACCAGATCCTTTTCTCGGAGCATCCGTGCAATCTATATTCATTCCTACGCAGTGCCGACAGGGCCTGTTATCCTCGCACTTCAGAGCATATAAACACTGAGACTTCCGATTTCAGGTGAGTAATCAGATGGGTACCTTTTTATTATCCTTTCTACAGTTTACACATCGGTGTTTGACTACCTTTGGGGTGCGATCAACGTGAATACACTCTTCCATCCTGGAGATACAGCGCATGCATGGTCGATTGTCATCACATTTTTTATTATCTCTGAAAAAAAGGCACAGTCATCCACTGCTACTGCATCTGGATTACGAGACAGCTGGCGTACCGCCTACACGCCTGACAGGCCAACTTCGCTCTTCCTGCCGTCGGAACCGAGCGAATTGAACCGGAAAAGGATCTTTGGGAATGTTCGTCGACACTCGTGATTGGAGAAACGGGTTCATCGGTGCAGACTATCACTAGTTCCATGCAGCGACTACATGGATCGCCGCCGTCGCAGCGTGCGCGAGACCGCCGACATGGTGGACAGCCATCAATACACTTATCATCTGGTAGTCCTCGTCGGAGACAGGCTGTGCAAGGTATAAGAATCGAAAACGAATCAATGGAAGCGCCAGCCCCACGATGACGGAACCCATGAGTTTCGGGAATTACAGGAGAGGAACCATGATATTATCACACCTGCACAAGGCCGCTCGCCGTCGCACTTGATTTTATCACGTCTGACGACAACACCCGAAGAAGGTCAACTAAGTAACGGACGGAAGAACAATAATAGGAAGTCAACATACCTGCAATTGCAACAAGCTTTATTTGTGCGCCTCGGCCAGGATGCATCGGAAACCGGGACTGGCGTCAGGTCCATCGAGAGAGACTGTGTGGGTCTGGTCAGTCTGTACTACAGCTTCAAGCAAAGTGGAGACTGGAGAGAGGGCCTCCCGTCAGCGGTCCCAGCGCACCCACATATAAGTGGCCTAAGAGAACCGGGCTGGCAGCATACTCTGCTAGAGGAGGGCACAGAAAAGCTATATACAACAAGGTTCGGGTCATCCTGCCCATGACGTTGCATTTGCAGCGAAAAGGGTAATCGCGGATACAATTTCAATTCAAAGCCCGTCCCACAAGCTGGCTTACCTCAGCTTCCCCTCAGTTGTCTGTTGGCACTGGGGCAGCGGCAACACCATTTTCTACTTCATCCTTTGTCTCTCTTTCTTCAATTCCAACCTCAACATTCACCGAAATGCAGATGGATGCCCACTTTCTCAGCTCCTGTACACCCAAAACCGAGTTTTCGAAACGGCACCAGGTCCAAGCAGCACCCCCTTATCGGACGACGCATGACGCAATGCATGCGTGGCTCGAGTTCCCTCCCAGCATCAAGTCTCTCTATTTGCACCGCCTGTGCCGCTCCAACAAAGGCAACGAGGCAACTTCACGTACTAAGGTTCATGTTACTTCTGTTGCACCCCTACACTTTTGAAGTGTGTCTTTACGCGAGAGCTTTGACCCTTGATCTTGCGAATCAGGCTCTTGAACCTGCCGCTATCTCGTGTTCTACAGTTCGCACCCCGTTCTCCACGACTTCTACGCTTCTTCATCTACATGTACACCCACAGCAGAAAACATAAATATTTTTGCGACTTTGTGCGTATATATTCCTATTCTAGATATCAATATTGCCACCCAATGTAATAATCTACACCTTACTTGCTGTTGCAGAGCCTCTTCACTGGCAATTTTGACATCCGATGCAAGTCTAACTTAATCATGGTATGCTTGTCTTCAGGTCTGTCAAGCCGTTCTCCGTCTCCGCGCATGCCGCGTAACGGCCGTAAATAAACCTGGTCATTATCTAAGAACGGGAGTGATCACACGCGCAACGTCGCATCTTCAAAAATTTAGCCGACATCTGACTATGGTACTGCACTCGTCAAATTGTGCGGTTACCTTCTTACACCTGACCGTACTTCCCGTCAAGTACCAACTGGTATGTATCTTTAGACGCTTCTATTCTACTCGTGAAGAACGCCGCTGGCAACTGCAACGCCACTCTTCATTCCGCGGATTTTGACTGGTAGATATACACATTGAAATTTGGTTACACTCGTTAAGCTCCTTTCTTCAGACGCGCAGGACGAACATGCTATTCCATGACTTCTTGCCATAGGTTTCGCCTCTACAGTTCCGAAAAATTATTGCAGGGATTATACTTACCACTGAACTGGACTGATGCGACTTGCCCGCGTCTTCATTGTTCCGGCTTCTTGTACACTTCGACTTCTCGAAACGTACTGAGTCACTTTGCAGAGCACCCCCTGGGTTTCTGTCGAACGCTTCGTAGGTTGGCTAGGAATATTTGATGACCGGTAGACAATAACACATTGCTTATGCTACCAATTACTGATGTTACAGGAATTGAATATTCAGTTGAAATAGCGTTCCTATTCGATTGAACATATGCATATTCCCTGCCTTTCTACCACATAGGATTCCCGCGAGCGGCACAAAAGAGTGAAAAACTTTTCCTGCGAGTGAATGGAATGTCGTCATTGGCTTCTCATGGAGGACACAAATGACCAGCACGTTGATCTGCGTGGGCGTTTGCGGCATGGAGTGCTATCTTCATTACTCGCGTCTCAATAGTAAGCAAGTATTGATGATGGAGCACTCGGTCGATTTTTAGTTTCGACTACCGCCCAAGTACTGGATCGTCGCCTCGGTGCCCTTAAATTGTCTTTTCTTGGGCAATCTATTGTCTATGTAGATTTCTCCTCTCCACATGAAACACCAACCTATTGATGAAACTATTATACCGTGGACTCCCGCATCGAGTCACAGGACATAATTTGGGTTCGCACCCCGAATCTGCTTCGGGAAGACGATATTACCCCCGATTTTCCGCAGTTTTCCAATCGCTGGTCGCCGAGATCGTGTTACTTGGCTTAGTGAACCAATGAGAAGTATCGTAGGAAATTTTACACTGGACGGTCCCAAGATGAACAAGATATCAATATTGCACGACGCACGTATTGAAGGTTAGAATTTCAGTTTAATTCTTTGGATTTGTTTTCACTGAATAGTACTACCAATCTTTGTTTTGGACAAGGAGACTAGTAGTTCAACCATATGGCAGCTCTGGCGTACCCTGACCAATATGAGCAACCCAAGTCAAATAAATGGTGTATCGCTTGCGTGTAAAAGCGAACCTCTAAAATGTAATACTATAATAGTTTGCCGTACGACTATTCAGACTGACCCGATAACTCTCACTCTTGTATATTGCGTCGTTCTAGCAAAGAAGAGAAGAGAGCCATACAACTACCGAACCGTACTTGTCGGCCTCCTGTTTCCTCAATCAAATCGATAAAGGACATCAGTCTTCTTCTATAGGTGTGTTGAAAAGAGCCACTGTACGGGGTCGTATGTTTTGATATAATATTCCGAGCTTGGAAAGCTTCTTTTTCTTTGACGCCCACGAACGCCGCCTCCATTCATTCCAATTGAAACGCCGAGTCATGTCGAATGGCCTAAGCCAGTAAGAGATTTCATATTCAGCCCGTGAGTAACGAAGGAAATGGAACAAGCTTACCGGACCGGGCGGGCTATGGCGTTATAACCCAATCATTCAAGAGCAACAACATACGGCGACTCCCTACAGTAGCCAGTAGCCAACAGAGCTTTTGAAAGTCGAAGAAACGCCCACACGACTCTCTTCTATTCATACTGTTTCAATAGAGAGGGGATCCAACTGGTGCTTTCGTTGACTGAGTCAAGAGACTCGCGTCTCCCAGGATGGACTGCTCCGGTTTTAAATATCCAATATTCGAGGATGAATATGACGAGGATCCAAGTACGTTCAAGGCTCCACGAGGGGTACAACCTGCGATGCAGAACACACCCGTCAGATCAGTCGAGCAGGCGCATAACAATGGATGCGAAGTTCAGAAGAAGAAACTATCTGCCTTGGGATATGGGAGGAAGTCAACTGTGTACATGCGCATTGATGGAGTAGTACAAGAAGTGTGAGTTATATGAGAGGGCTATTATTGAAGTTGTATTCATGTTTATCTCGATTTGTACAGCGAAATACAGTGCAGGGACCGAAGTTGTCATGTACAGTCTATCAATGGGCTACCGCTGAACCAAGCCCTTTATACATCAAAGACGGATGGACTACCTCTCATTTCAAGGCTAGACAAACTTAAATCGGATAAGGACCTTGATCTTGAGGATAGCGAAGGGAGAACCGTACGTTGCAAGTCATGTAAGAAGTGTATGAGTGGTGTGCAAATGCACACATGGATAGAACACAAAATTCGTTGCGAAAAGATGCAGTAGGTACTTTGCTGAAGCAAATCGGGTTCTGCGTTGACTATATGTTCCGTCAGACAAAAGCTCAAAGATGAATTCCAGAAACGCATGGGGAATTCTCTAAATGGTGGTACCTATACAAGTTCCAGGAAATCCAATGTTGAACAACGCCAACCTTTACGAGTCAACAAACGGCGCAGACGGAATGGATATCGGAAATACCCGACTAATCAAAATCAAAAAGTGTCTGTTCAAATAGGAGACACTGTAAAGATCTTGTGAGTCTTAACGTTCGTAGAAATCAGGATTGTTGGGTCAATTAATGCACAATTTCACCCCCATTGCTAGCCAATATGACGTCGTGAACAATCGGATCATGCTCGACGGCAAGACATTGGCTGAAGTCTTCTATGGAATCAAGTTGGACAAGCACTGTAAGGATCGCAGCGAGCTCTTCAAGAGTGATCCCGACATAGAATCCTTCTCGAATGTGTTTCGAACGTGCGTGTGCCGTGGGTGCAACGAAACAATCAGCACTAAATACACATACACCTGGCTGGAGCATCGATTTCGATGCCCACTGCTCCAGTACGCCGAAACCAATTTGTTTATTAGTATGATCACAAGTAGCTGACTTGCATCAGGAAGCATAGGGCGCTCGTAGAGGACTCCCCAGAATCTGACACTGCTGGTAACGATATGCCATCAGGTCAGCCAAGCATCCTCCACGAATCTTCTCTGCAAGTATCTTCAGCAAAACGCAAGCGTGTTGACAATTCCAGCCCAAAGGAAGTCAGTCGATCCCCTCTACCTACCAAGAAACAAAAGAAGGCTCAGGGAAATCTCAAATCTATTGGCAAACCCACAGTCAATACAACCCCACACAGTACAATGGGTGGCGCAATGGCTCGGGACTCTTCCCAAGACCTCTCGAAACAGCTTGTTGGTTCCGTGAAAGCACTACAGGCGGTCATGAAGGAGGTGTCTAAGCTCTTAGAGGAGAGAGTTGAGTAATAAGCAGGAATAAAAAATTTTGGATTGTGATGGGACAAAGCTTAGACCAAATAACCAACAGATGACACTGTATAATTGTAATGTATGTGACAGAGTATGTCTCAAAAAACCTGAAAACTACGCATCGAGAGAACTGCTTGCATTAAGATTTACTGTGTGGCATGAGTCGCATGACAAGACATCACTAATAATATTTTGAGCAGGATCCATGAGATAAACGAGCGAGGCTCGCAGAGCAGGTGCTGAGGCTGTGTGTAAAACCTCACATTGCGGCTGCGGATAACAGGAATGTTCTGAGTTATCACGTGGTACTCCAGAGGTGATTACGGCGTGAAAGCCACGATGTGTATTTACTAACGACAACCTTTCGAAGTCCGCAAATCCGATTCTCCCTTCCTGACTAGACTAAGTTGTCGCCCAGTAAGTATATTGAACTATGATATGCACATTGTTTCGTATCCTTTACATTTTCATCTATTTGACTAATATAACGTCCTGTCCTCAGAAATGACCCTTGTTTTAACTTGTGATCATCATTCCTGCAGCTCACGTGAATAAGTATTGCAGCAGCAAATTTAAAGAAAGGAGAAACTCAGATATTATAATCAAGAGATCCATTTCTGGGAATTATACCGAGGTAATCAGATGCGCTCGTAACTTGTAAGAACTCAGTAGCGTTGGCGATATCAGCATCTATTAAGTAGTATGTTTCTCCTTTAGGCCGTTGTAGATTTATACATATTATTATCTTCTCTCTCAGCGTCTCTGTCACTACAAAATAATCGAGACTCACTATGAGTACTGCAAAGAAGATACCGACCCGTCACCTCGGCGATAATGGTCCCATTGTCAGCGCTATCGGACTCGGGACCATGGGTAAGAGCAATTTCTTCTGTACCAGAGGGAGGACTGACTAAATGTCCGGCTTGCAGTGATCGGTTCTTTCTACGGGAACACCGATGAAGCAGCTGAATATAAGGCACTTACCTATTCCGCGGACCGGGGCGTGACTTTCTGGGACACCGCGGATGTCTATGGCACAAGTAAGTCTTTTATTGCACACTAGAGAGTCGCATATACTCAACAATACTGCAATTCGCAAGCCGAGCTTACTCTCGCCAAATGGTTCGCAGGGACGGGCCGTCGGTCTGGAATATTCCTTGCGACCAAGTTCGGTGCAGCCGATCCTGAGGGCAAGTTCGGGGGTGGTCAGGCTATCTCAACGCCGAGTTATATCAAACACGCACTCGAACGTTCACTCAAGCGTCTTGGAACGGACTACATCGACTTGTATTACCAACACCGCGTCGATCCAAGTGTGCCAATTGAGGTCGTGATCGAAACACTTCGCAAGCCGATTGAGGAAGGTAAGATTCGCTGGATTGGCTTGAGCGAATGTAGCTCGGAAACATTGCGACGTGCGAAGGCCGTCAAGGGTGTCGGAGAGAAGGTCATTGCTGCACAAATGGAATTCAGCCCATTCACTCTCGATGTCGAGAAGAGTGGTTTTGCAAAGACTGCGGAGGAGCTTGGTGTTTCCATCGTCGCATATAGCCCGCTTGGGCGAGGCTTGATTTCTGGCAGGTAAGTTCCGAGTATGAGCTTAGGTATATTGAAAAATTCCTTACGGTTGTACCAAAGGTTCCGCTCTCGTGCAGACTTCGATGCGAACGACGTTCGTTTGCTCTTCCCGCGTTTCTCAGAGGAGAACTTTCCAAAGAATGTCGAGCTCGTCGACAAAATCAAGACAATCGCTGACAAATACAATGCAACTCCAAGCCAGGTCACTCTAGCTTGGATCCTTGCAACATCTCAGAATTGTTGAGTGCCTCCACTTTTAACTTGTGAGTTAGGTTATTTATGCCGTAAACAGACATACCAATTCCTGCGTGCCGCTCTGTCGAGCGAGTTGAAGAAAATGCTCACAGTGCCGAGCTGCGACTCGCACCGGAGGATGTCCACGCGATACGCACTCTCACTGAAGCCGCTGACATCCGTGGAGAGAGATATCCCTCTGCCTACATGGCACATCTCGAAGGCAATTGCATTCAGCTGGAAGAGTGGAAGGGAGAATGAAGCAATCATCGTTTGCAAATGTATATTAACATTATAGCGTATCTGAACACGATGGAAGATTATAAGGTGAATACAGAAGAGTTTCAGAATAAAGAATGTTTCGTACTGGTAATGGCAAGTCTCGTGCAAGAGGTGTATAATATATTGATGCTCATTCTAAGCGTATGATAATACCCCGATCAAACAGCGATACCCGTGCTCAAACACAGTTAATGAGTCACGCCTCTTTGCAAGAAACTGCACGAGTATGCAGCGGTCATTTTCCGGCAGCTCGAATCCTTGCTACTCAGTTGCCCTTCCCAGCATTTGGAGACAACTGAGCAAAAGCTATTGGTTATATGCCTACCTGCTCAAATTGAATGAAGATTAAGTCATTTTATTTGTGTTTCTCGGTCATTTGCCCATGCTATGTAGTTAAAGACATGGACAGGGGATGACGAGACGATTCGTTAAGAGCGGCGCCAGCCGTTGGCTGCGCAGCAAGCTTGTTCAGAATCCACGGCAGATCCAGCAGATCCATCCATCCGACGTATATGGATGCAGCGAACAGGGAGTCTTGCAGCAGACCAGGTAACGTATACGAGCGGGTCAAGGTCCAGGTGAACATGGTCGTGCTCTTGTAGGCCGTAATTTGAAGTGTGGGCCTGAGACGCCATGGACAATGAATGGAATGGAATCAAGACCCCGTCCAACTATATCCCATGATTTATGAGGATGAGGATTGTGACGGATTTGCAGAGTCAATGCAGACGGAGATAAATCGATAATGATAATGCGATGACGCAAATTGGAAAGTTTGATGTGTGTTGCTGCCACGTGATAATCCAAAACGCCCCAGACCACATCAGGCATTTCACAATTTCTTTCCTTAAAAAATAACTTACATAATGTTAAATATAATTCATAATTTAATTTACCATTTTTGGTTGATAGAAATTGTAAACAACATTTGAAAATTTCTTTAGACAAAAACTATAAATTAATTTAGCATATCTTTATTTGTGAAATCTTGAAATACAGGTGTGTGGCAAAAGTGTTCGTCTTTCCTCAATAGGTAGGTACATTATTAATCGATTTGTGTTACCTATTTGAGCTGTCAGAGACGTGTCAAACCTTCGTCTCGTGTCTCTGACTTGTGTGAACACAATATACCCACAAAAAAACATAAACATTAATTTTTGTAAAGTATATACTTAAAACTTGAATACATTAATTAAAATTATAGTAGTCTATAGCTTGTTTAGAAAGAAAAAAAAGAAAAATAATGACTTTAGTAACCAGTGTTTCCTCCACAAGCAATAACAACTGTATCAACCCTCTTTGGCATAGATTCAATCTGTTTATTAATTTGATCCAATGTAAGATTATCCCAAGCTTCCCTAGCCATTTCCTTCAATTCCTCCTTAGATGTTAGTGTCCTTTGTTGACCTTGAAAAATGTTCTTCCAATCAAACTAGACTGGTTCAATAGGGGGTTGACATCAGGTGAAATGGGTGGATGATCAATTTGAGGAATATTGTTCTCCTGCAAGCATTGTTTTGTAACTTGGGCTGTGTGGCATCTAGCATTATCCTGTTAGAATAAGAGGCCAGGACATTTGATTCAAAACCAATTGAAGATTAGAATAAGGACAGGTAGTAAAACTTGCTCCTTGTACCTTTGTACAGTCATTCCTCCTCCTCTCCCTCTAGGATAATCAAGAATAACAAGAGGACCTTTAAAGTTATAAGCAATACATCCCTAAACCATTATCCTAACTGGATTCTGGTATGGCTTTTCAAGAATGTATGATCTTTTATAAACTTCATATGGTTTTCTAGTCACCCAAACATTTCTAATGTTTCCATCCACACAAAGGTAGGATTCATCAGAAAAAACCATATTAACCTACTCCTGAGCCCTCTAGTAATGATGGTGTCCTGCTCAAATAAGTCTCCTTGCCTCCTGAATTGCATTTCTCTGCAAACACCTCCTAACTCATCTTCTATAATAACCATCCTTTACCAACTCCCTCCTAACAGTTTCCCTACTGATTCCTATATGGTTTGCAAGGTTTTTATTATAAGATGATTAGTTCATTAATGGACAAACTACAAGACAATGACTTCATAATGTCTCAGTTAGAATACATACAATATAAGGATGAGAGACACTGAGCAGTCAATTATTACCTTACCCCTTGTCTATGTGTGCCCCCCTTAAGTTTTCCCTCTCAACAGGTTATGAGCCTTGAGCTCCCTGTATACATGCATCCACTGTACACTTTAAACCCTTTACTTGTATACATTTGTACACATTTGCATTATGGTTCCCTCACATACAGATACATACTGTAAACCAGCTAATGTACCTAAATACTTTGGTCAAAACATTACAATGCTTAAGACTGAAGCAAACTACAAGATGTAGCACTACTGTATTGTTTCTAGTGTTACAGCTATGTGCTTTGAACACTTACTAAAGGATGAACTGTAAAACAAAGCTGAGAGGGAGATGGCTAAGACTATTCATGTATGTATAGTTAATAACATTGTCAACACAATATTGGCAAACTATATGCACTTTGATATGTCTATCCCTCAGTTAATGAAAGTGCTTGAAGAATGCTTTAACCCCTAGACAGTATGTAAAAAGGCTATTAACAAATCCACACTGTTTATTTGTAGAGACTATGTAAAACATTTTGGATATACATTAGACAGACTTGAGGAAGCATACACAACTCTGTCTGCTAACAGTGATCCACCACACAACTCTACATACAAAGCAGTAATATTGCTTGCTACTCTTGAGCAATATACACACATAGTAAATACAATAATACAATCTACTAATGTCCAAAACAAAGGCAAACCAGTTGATGAACATAAGAAAGTCAAACTGAAGCAACTAATCCTTACATTGTAGAATGCCTACAATGATTACTGTACTAAACAAGTACAAGATTCCAATGATTGTACAAAGAATAATGCACATGTTAATACAATGTATAAAGCCAATAAGCAGAGGAAATTCAATCTGCCAAATCTGTTCAATCCAACAAAAGCAAAATGTTTCAATTGTGGAAAAACAGGACATTTCTCTAAGGAATGCCACAAACCTCCTACTGAAGCTACAAAGCTTGTGCACACCAAACATCAAGCTAACATTGTGTATAAAACAAACCAAACTGTAGAAAACACAACAAACACATTTATTATTGAAAACCCAAACGAAAACAATGTTGAATTAAAGGAAGACAATGTTGAAATGAACAATAACACCTACACTCTTATTCTAAGCAACCAGGACAAACAATTCGAACAATATGCTTCCTGGGTATGTACCAATGTATTTACAAATACAATCATAGCTAACAAGAAATCCTATATGCAAATGATAGATTTACTTGATTCTAGTACATCAATACATGCTACTCCTTATCTATTTCAATTAACAGATGTACACAACATAATTCCTACAATTGTAACTATTACAAATAGATCAACAATGACTCTTAATCAAGCTGAATCTATGTGTATTGAAATCCTGAAAAATATACAAGAAAGAAGTGTCATAACATTACAAAACATCTATTACTATCTACAAATGACCTTTTCCCTCATAAGTCAAGTGCTACTATGTAGGGAAGGTTATTCTTTTATGTTTACAAACAATAATTGTACTATAACATCACTATGTAACAAATACATCAGACATATACAATTGAGAAATAACTTGTATATTTTGTACAATAATCATTTGTTAAAAACAATGAACAAACTATCTATTTATGATATACATAAACACCTTGGACATATAAGTTACAATTATATTAAACGATTATTAAAGACACAACCAAGTGTACTATTAACTAAAATAATGAACTATGAAGAAAAAGAATATATTGAATGTATAAAAGCAAATATCGAATGTACACCAATACTAAAACTATGTCAATCTCCTCTTGCAAATTAATATGGAGATCTTATTCATATCAATATCATTAGTCCTATTAAACTGTACACATATAAGAACATACACTACTTATTAACAATTGTAGACAATTCTACTTGTTAGTGTATAATGCTCAAATTACAAACAAAATCTGATGCATATACACAATACATACAATAGACAACCAAAATATTTACACAGTACAGAGTTAAAATAAAGCTTTTACAAAGTGATAACAATACTGTATTCCTTAGTAAAGATTTCCAACAATATTTAGATTCACAAGGAACAAAACAAAGATTAACAGTACATCATACTCTACAACAGAACAGAATAGCAGAACAAACTCATAAATCTATATTTAGAGGTGTAAGAGTATATCTAACATCTACTGAATTACTGTTTACATTATAAGCCAAAGCAGCAATTCATATTACCTATATTCATAATAGAACACTGTGTGCTACTTTAAATTACAATACCCTACATTACAAATGTTACAGAACACACAGAACAATTGATAATATATATGAATTTGGTCAATATATTATCATTTGCAATGAAAATCCTACAAAAATACAACAGTAAGGTATCATTGCTTGTTAGATAGGATTAGACAATGAAAGTAAAGGCCATAAAACTTGGCACAATAATAAAATCACCATCAAACAAAATATTCAATTTCTCAAAGGTAAACCTCCTCAAATTGAAGGGGAGAAAATAGACAATATGAACAACAATACAAACCAGTGTTTAATAATTAAAAATAATGAAATGGACAATAGAATAACAAGAACAGACAACAATGATACAGACAATGCTGATCCTAACAAAAAAGGAAAAGTAGCAGAACCAACAGACTTAACAGACAACAAAGTTAAATTAACTGAAAAAGAAGTAGAACCTAAACTACATTAATTGGAACAGAAACAGAAACTGACAGAATGTACTATCAAGCTTGAACAATGTATAGAGAATAAATGCATAACAAAACACATGTATGCACTTAGTGAAAAGGATGAAGATAATATTGCTATTCATTTAACAGAATTTAATACTAAAATAAGTGAAATACAATTGGATCCGACTTCATTTTATAAAGCAATCCAATGTCTGGATTGTGATTTATAGATTACAGCTATGAAAGATGAAATAAAACAATTAGAAAATTATAATACATGGGAAATCATGAATCCATACAATAATATTAACATTATCAGAACACAATTTGTCTATAAAATAAAGCAATACACTGACAATAGTATAGAAAAATACAAAGCACAATTAGTAGTTCAAGGAAACTATCAGATTAACAGCCTTGACTATCATACAGACAATTTATTTGCTCCTACTGCTAGACTATCTACAGTACAATTAATATTAGCATGGGCAGCATCTAATAATTATGAAATACATCAGATAGATATAAAATCAGTATATCTGTATGGACAATTGATGGAAGACAAAGAAATATATGTTAAACCTTCTCCAGGTAACTTAATAGATGGATTACAGAATGGACAAATATTATGATTACAAAAAGCACTATACAGATTAAAACAAGCTGGTAGAAGATGGTATAAAATGCTATCTAATATACTACTTAAATGTAGATTAACGAAATCCGAACATGATAACACTATATTCTTCACAAGGAAGAAAGAAATAACTGTAGCCATATTATTTGTACATGTCAATAATATTACTATTGTGGCAACAAATAATAATACTATTGTAATGATAAAACAATCTATTGTACATCATTTACAATATACAGACAGTGGCAAATTACACTAGCTACTTAGTATAAAGATTCAACACAACAGAGAGCATAGATTCATTAGGATGTGTCAGACACATTATATTAATAGTATAATAGAATGTTACAAACAAACAAACAAACAAAGTGTACAAACACCCATACAGTCTGGTACACAATTAAAAACAGTATTGCAAACTAATAACAATAGAAAACAAATGTCTGATATACTATACATGAACATGGTTGGTACACTTAGATACATTGTAGACTGTACACAGCCAGATATAGCATTTGTAACAAATCAGTTAGCTAAATACCTCAATGACCCTGGTATAGAGCATTATCTGGCACTTAAACATTGTTACATGTACTTAAAAACTATAAACAATGTCTGGCTCCAACTTGGCAGCACAAATCAATCAATATTGAACAGATATACAGACACAGACAGTATGATGCAAGAAGGGCATTATACAATATCAGGATACACATTTTACTTGAGTGATTCATTAGTTTTGTAGTCAAGTAAAAGACAAACACTAGTGGCAAATTTGACGTATGAAGCTGAATTAATAGCTCTTGTAAGAGGAACACAGGAAGTAATCATACTTACTCATTTAGCTGAAGAGATTCTGCAGGTCTCTGATACACCAATTAATATCTATTGTGATAACAATACTGTTATACAAACAGTTACATTGGACAAACTCAAATATTTGGAAAAAACAAAGCATTTAGATTATAAGAAAGATTTTATTAAATGCTACATTGAGTTAGAGTACATAAATGTGAAATACATACAGACAAACAATCAATGAGCAGATATATTAACTAAAGCACTACATGTACCACAAGTCAAACATCTTACCAGTTTACTCAGACTAGTAAGAGTTTGAAGGGGAGTATTATGAGATGATTAGTTCATCAACAGACAAACCACAAGACAATGACTTTATAATGTCTCAGTTAGAATACATACAATATAAGGATGAGAGACACTGAGCAGTCAATCATCACCTCACCCCTTGTCTATGTGTGCCCCCCTTAAGTTTTCCCTCTCAACAGTTTTTAAGAGGCATGAACCTGTGAGTAGTAGCCAAATGAATGAGAAGCTTGTGTATGATTCCATCAAGGAGTTTTGAATGTCCAGAATGTGGTTTGTTAGAGGTAGACTTGGTTTCCTTCCATTTCTTCCATATTGATTGAGTAGTAGTATAGGGGATCTCTAGAACTGTAGTAGCATGACAGATTTTT